GCAGGTGGGATCTGACATTGGGTCTGTGGCTGGAGCCACTCTGACCAGCCCTAGGTACTAGGCAGCACCCATCCCTCACAGGTTCCCATCCAAATACACAATCCAGACAAAGGCTGTGACCAAAAAGGAAAGTTTGTAATTCATTTTCTTAATTTTATTTCATTTATCTAATTTATTTATTTAGGAAATGAACCACATAAGTCTGTGGAAATTGTTTTGCTCAAGGTCATAGTGCTTATACAAGGGAGATGCATCTTCTTCATCTCAGCTCAGTGCTCCAGTCACATCATCTTCATTCCTGCGTGACTTAGCAAAAATCAATTTAGAACCAGTATTTTCAGACTGCTGTTCGCCTGCCCCCACACCTGTACACAGAGAATACTTTGGAGAGGCACCTGAGGTGTGCACGTGTAATGCAAGTTAAAGGAAATAACAGTATTAATAAAGTAACTGTTTCTACTTAGTACCACCGTTCCTTTAAGTGCAAACACCAAAGTACGTGCTCCCACAACTGATTGCTCCCAATCCTCTGGGATCCACCCAGTCCTGACATGCTCAGTCTATTCCTCCACGCAGAAGATAAAAATAACAGCGAGCCTCCCACTCACTTTTGGAAGCCAAGCCCTGATCGTCATCCCAGTACGGTGCTGGGGCTCGGCACAGTCATTGCCTGGCCCTCCCAGTATACCCTTGCCGAGGGAGGAGTGTGTGGGTACGTCTGGGGCGGCCCAGTTTGCCCCAGGCTCCCAGCTTCTGGGCTGGACTCAAAGCGGTCAGCTCGAGGCTGATGGGGAGTCGGTCTCAGAAACACCGAAACTCTGAAACTCAGCAATCCTGGTCCTGCCAGTGGGTAGAGGGCTTAAAACGTCCTACGTCTGTCTTTAGAGCATGATCCAAAAGTGTTGCTCCACTAGTCAGGGGAGAGGGTCTCAGGTAAACCCAAACCAAAGGACTTTTGTTCCTCAGTGCGTTACCAAACATAATACACCCCAATATCTTACCGAAACGTCATTAATTTTGAGCCCGGTTTTCCGCAGTGCTTATGCAAGTGACTAAGTGAGCAAGACTTTAAAAAATCTGATTTGCATCCATTCATCAAACATCCTGCTTTGTCAGCTGGAGAGAGGGTTTGCTCCCAGCCTCACTCATCCCTGAACAGCAACATAAATAGATGGGGAGTACCCCGTGCTGGTATCGTGGGGATCGTTATTCCTATGGGATACCCACCCTCCACTGAGGGAGTTACACCACCGAGATGCAGATCTGGGGGAGTTTAGTCTTAACCTGCATTCTCCACTGAGGGGTTTGTCTTCTAGAGTCACCCACGGAGCTCGTTGTGAATCCGCTGGAGGAACTACACTCTTGACCAGATCCTTCTAGCTGTGGAAGGATCAGTTAACCTTAGTTTTAACCCTAAAATTGTCATAATTTCAACACTCTTCTCTTACTCTTAAAAGCCTCCTTTTGGATTTCAGCTCGCTAGAACTGAACAGTTTGACCTGAAGTAGAGGAATGTGGAAGCCAAAGTATCTGAGTGTCACTAAATTCTACAGGATTCAGACACCTCCCCATCCCAAGAGATGAATACAGTTCCCTGCATTTTTAGAGTGAAGTTTCTCAACCATTTTTTAAGAAGGGATTTCCTGATACCATCCAAAAAAGCTCTACAGACCATCTTGGGTTGTTTTTGAGAAACGGAACAAAGAAAAGTAATATTTGCAACAAATAGGAACTAGACTAAAATTCAAATGTTTGTCTGTTACTTTCCCCACCCAATTGTTTCCTTATCGGCACAGGAGTGTAAATGTTCTTTTTCCTGGATCATGGACTGATGTCCTTTGAACCACAAAAGGCTTGCAGGTTGAGTAATATTTCTTTATGTCAATTACTACCAAAAGCTGTGAAGAATGAAATTCCTTCTCCATGACAATCCATACAGTATTATTTTGAGCAATTGTATAGGTGCTTGAAGCAGACATATAATTGTGTGGAGTGGTTAGATTAATTTATAAACAGCTTTCGGGCTTTCAAACTTATTCTGGATTGCAACATTTTTTTTTCCTCAACCAATCACAAGAAATTCGACCGTCAGAATCTTGTTTCTGCTGTTAATCTAAGGCGCTTTCAAATCATTTGTCCTTCATGAAGAACCAAGAGAATAATAACTGCTGGTTTTAGGTGTCCCGAAATAGGATTTGCTGCCCTGTGAAAACGTGGCCGGTACATCTGCACAAACAGGACCAGATTAGGAAGAGTAATGACAAAAAACCTCAAAGCTAGTTGAAGAACGGTGAGAATTTCCCAGAAAGGAGTCTGAAGCAGAAATGAACATTTCTCCCATTGCTTCCCTAGAGCAGAGGCAGGCGGGTGTCCTTGCAGCGCTGCCCCTTATCAGGAGCATTCCAGCCTGCCCTGTTTGTCACAGAAACCGGCCGGAGCGGGAGCGCGCTCGCAGCCAACGGAGTGATTCAGTGGTGATGGGGAAAGGCAGGTGGAGCAGGTAAGTCACCTCTGGACAGGAAGGTATAAAAGATACTTGAATTACAGCGGCAGGGCCACTTGTGCACGGGGAGCTGTTAGAGGTTACTTGTCTTGCCAAACCTACCGTGCTTGGAAACAACTTGGGAAGCTACCGGGGAGCTCGAATACCAGGAGGCAGCTTATAAATACAAAAGACCATCAGCCTAAGACTATCCTCTGGAGAGAAGACTCTTCAGGGGTAGAAATCAAGCGCCCAGAACATGCTTTTCTCCTTCTAAACAGCACTCTGAACAGGTATTTATAGCCTTTAATCTGCTGTACACCTCTTAACTCGCTGTGTATTCAGTTGTTCTGAGTTAAAGATACCATTAGGGAATCATATTACAGAACAGTGTTGGCCACTATCTTAACTGCATGTTCTCTTTTGTCTGGTTTTATGGTGTGGAAATAAGTTTTCTAGAATTTGTTGGGAAGTAAAAAGTACTTAACTACTTAGTTTTAAATCTGAGTTTATGTGTCTCTCCTGAATGGTTTAGTTATTTAGTGATGTTCCCAAAGTTTCTGGAAAGCCAGGGGAAAACGGCTGAGAAAACAAGGTAAAGAGCTGCAGGGGCTGAGGAAATGCAGTGTGACCATGGAGGCCTGAATAATTGAAGGTATTACCTTATATTAAAAACAAAATTAAAAAAAAAAATAATCTTATGATTGTGGAGTGAAAAAACAAAACAAAACAAAACAAAATGAGAAAAAACAAACAAAGCCTCCAAGCCCTAACTAATTCTACCAAGATTCCACACTGCATGCCTGCACTGGGACTCTCCTGCTTGAGTGACAGGCTCTCCTTTAGTGCCCAGGAGAAGTCTCAGTCCCCGTGTTAGATGCTGCCCAAACCCAATTTAACTTTCTGAGCATCAGCACTATGGCAAACAGACCAAAAGGCACAAGAAGCAGGCCGAGGCTGAGTAGGAATTCAAACTGTCTTTCCCACACCTCGGCTCTGTGCCCTTCTCGTCACATCTTCCCAGTTTAAGTCAGCTACCTGGGTCACGTTTGATCAAGGTGCCACATAATACCAAGATGTTGATAAAAATAAGTAGACTCTGAACTTATTAAAACTACCAAGTGTCTGTAGCATCACGGTCATCTTCAGCAAAAGGGAAAATGTGGGCAAAAGCTTTTATCTTCATTTAAAAGCAACTGCTGTGAGTAAACTCCCTCAAGTTTACTGTCCAGATATTGCTGTTGCTGTAGCTGTTGTATTACAAACCAGTAAAAACCCCAACAGAACAGCGTTTTCACACAGGTTATGAAATAACCGTTTGCGTAAGCAAAGGCTCTCTCTTTCTGAGGTTACCTTCTGCCACCGGTTTTGCTGCTCCTAATTTCTGACACACTCCAAGCTGAGGGACTGCAAAGAACTGGGGACAGAGGATGGAGTTTTGCAAAACAAGATTTAGTACAAAAAAAACCCAACAAACCCACAAGGGGTTTCCCTCATCTCCGTGCCAATTTGGGCTTGGATTTGTAATTCATCAGCATCTGCCAGATTGTGCTCACACATGCACAGTGATCTATAGCCAGAAAAAAAACCAAAAAAAAAAACCACAAAAAAAAACATTAATAAAAACCCCAACATTACAAGTTGCTGAAAAGTGCAGATAGTCTGTGACTGAAAATGTAACTTGAGGAGAGGCTTCACTGAAATTTATTTAGAGCAAGAGAAGAAAAAGAAGGAAGGCTTTTAAAGTTGGTTTCAGCTCTGGCAAGAATAGCTGTGACGGGAGAGAGGAGAATGCTTCATACCTAAAGAATTGGAGAATTTTTTTGTGCGAGGTGAGGAATACGTGGTCTTTCTGATACCTTAAATGAGCCTTTTCTGCTGAGACGTGGAGTCTCTAGCCCATGCTGGTGAGCCATTGCTGGATTGACTGGAGACCTATAATTACAGCAGCAATCTGAACATTTCTAGCTTGTCATCGGTCAATCTCCCAACACAAAGAATCAAGCCTAGCTAGTTCAGTGACACATCCTAAAAAAATGCTCCCCGGGCATACGGCATCAGGGCTGTCGCTGGGAATTTTCTCCAGCTAAACACTTGCTTTCAGGTAAAAGTGCTCAGTAGCTGAAAAATCCGAGTATCGGGGTGCAGGTGAAGCTGTAGGTCTAGCCTAGATAACTCAAATTCAAGGTAAAACTGACGTTGCTCAAACGGCTGGAGCAAGTTATAAACCAATTTGATAAAACTGGCTTATTAGCCGTTCGACTCCAGGCTCCCGCCTGCACACCACAGCAAAGCAGGGAGCACAGGGCGGCACACAGCAAGGCTCGGGGGCTGAGGACAGGGAAGAACGGTGTTTCCCCAGGGAAATCCGAGCTACAAGGAAGCAGTGGAGAATTCCCCTGGCGCTGGCACCGCGGGGCCGTTTCCTCCAACATTGCTTTTCTTGCTGTGTCACGGTGACAGGACAGAGATGCTTCTTGTGCTGCTTGCGGCCAAGGATGGAATAAACTTTGCAAGATGACAATGGTTCCTCACCACCCTTGGGTTCTTGTGTGACACAAGGGGGTTCAGCTTCCACCGTGGGGGGACAAAACCAGGCGGATTGCTGGCTGGTGCCGCGCTTGCCTGCTCGGCAGCGTGCAGGACCACGATTCAAGGCACAAAGCTCTGACCAAAGAGAAGAGATTCCCCCCGCCTCCCTGCTACCTCCACAACTGAATAGTGTTGTCTGTCTCTTAGGCCTTGCTCATGCTGCCACCATAATATCTGAGTGCCTCCCAGACTAATAGACTGCCATAGCGAGGTCCCTACTTGACCTCATGGAGTCTTCTGCTCTCCTCCCTGCTCAGGTGTCGGGGAGCACCACCTGGGGTAGGTTTTTGTTGTGTATTTTCTGCCCAGAGGGAGGCATGTATGGGGAGAGACTGCACCCATCTATAATGCCGTGGTGGTTCTGGTGAAAAGGCTTTGGCTGGACGGTGGATCTCTGCTGGTTGCTTGCTTCTTTGCAGGATGTTTGACTTTACCTTCGGAATGCAGCTTCGAACAGGCTACCTGTGTCGTTCTCACCTCTAGCAGGGATCTACTCCAAGCTCAGGATGCAGTGAAAGTCACGAACTTGCTCTTTGTTCCTTTTAAGGGGTTAAACATAGGTCTGGTGATGGGTGTCTTCACATTGTTTAAAATGAAGGCTGTGCTTTTCTTCTCTTCTAGAGTCTCCCAGGGCTCTATTTATTTCCCCGGGCACCGTCATGTCGTGCTTCACGCAGCTGTGGCACTCCAACACGCCAGCCTCTCCCACCAGCCCAGACCCTGCATCTCCAAGTGAAATCCCCATCCCCATCAGCCCCATTGTTGTCACCTCCCCAGGAGATGGCAAGAGGAAGGCGAGATCCCCAACCGACAAGCCAGGCTCTCCGAACCCAACGTCTCCGAAGCCAACCTCCCCCGTTGAGTGTTCCATTTGCTTCAACACCTATGACAACACCTTCAAGACGCCCAAGCTGCTCCAGTGCTCCCACGTTTTCTGCCTGGAGTGTGTGGCCCGCCTGAGCACAGGGCTGCCCCCAAACCAAGCAGAGGACCAGCTCCCCTGCCCCTTCTGCAGGCAGCTGACCAGCATCCCTCTGGAAGGTGCCCCAGCACTCGAGACCAGCAAGGAGCTCCTTGCCACGCTGCCTCCTGAACTCCAGCAGGAGAAGGTGCTCTGGATGGAAGGGACCAAGCTCTGCTGCCGTCAGGCATCTGACGACCCGGAGAATCCAGACTCATGTATCTCCATTGACGTCGCCATGAGCAAGCCAGAAAGCCCAGAGGCCCCCCCGACGGGGTTAGCTGGGAGGCTGTCCCGCTGCGACATGTGCGATGACTGGAAACGCATAGTCCTCCTCTCTGCGCTGATCATCATCCTGTTCTGCATCATCCTGTGGCCGGTCCAGTGTGCCCTGAAGACGGGGAACCTCCGCTGCTTCACCAGGACTGTTGCAATGAGCAGGCCAGAGTATCTTCCCCCTAAACACACCACAGTGGCAGCCCCCGTGACACAACTCCCTTTCCAGTAGCAGCGAGGCAGCCCCTGGCGAGGCTGTTGGCTCCCTCCCCACATCCCCACAGCACGTCGGGGAGGCAGGAGCGGGGCCTGCTGCCCTGACAGCATTCCTTGGGTTTAATGGCAGAGCCCGTGGCCCACTCCCCACACTCCTCTGCCTGCCCTCCAACACAAGCATCCACCTCCAGGAACTCTGATGAAATACTTGCCTGCCAAGCTGTCTCCAGCCCAGGAATGCTCCAAGCAGCTGCCTCAGCATCCTGCTGCCAAACTCTCCATGGAAACCAGAGCTTTGGAAGCAGCAGACAGGTTTTCTAGGACTGTTTGCCTCGAGCAGCGCACGGCCGTGTGCTGTCTTGGCTGGGTAACAGGTGACAGTGGGTGCAGTTCCTCTGACTCCCTCAGGGAATAAAGGGCTATTTTTGCAAACTGAAGGTTCTACATGATTATTCCTAAGAGGAGCTTGGATCGGGAGGGTAAAGACATGTCAAAGTCGTACAAGCAGATGAAAATCAAAACATTTCCGTTGTGTTAGTCAATGTTGGAGGTGTAAATGCTGCCTCCTGCTGACAAAACATGGATCTACCACAGCTACCCACCTTCTGAGTCTCATTACCCTCCTGATGAGCTTTTGAACAGAAGAGAGTAGCCGTTCTACTCGTTTCTCCTAAGAAGAAACTCATCCCGACCTGGAAAGTGATTTTTTTGGAACACAGGGGGTGAGTTCTGTTAGGCACACTGACACAGCAGTATAACCCTGCCCCTCAACTTACTTACCAGCGAACTTCACTCCTACTTCTCACAGGGAAACCATTGCCAAAATGACAGAAGTTCCACCTTTTGTCAGCTTTACCCTCCTAATCTTAAAATGTGTCAGTATTAAGACACAGGCCAGTTGCTTACACTGTATTTTTATTTAATGCAGTGATCTTCTGACAGTGATTAACAAAAGTCTTCACGATTAAGGCGGCTTACAATTAAATGTTTTCTATTCAAACACATGGATGTAAGACAGTATTGTATGCAAGTACCATACATGTATGTATTAAATTATGTTTTATACAATGAAAGGCGTCAATTTGTAGCAATTACTCCACATTTCCCTTCTTACTTGCAGTTGGAGGTGTTCACTTAGCAGTCCTGAGTCCAGCTGCATTCCCTGATCACGGTAGCTACACAAGCATGTGCCATGTCTGTGCTCTGGCCCGTGCATCCCCTGCACCTGTGGGCAGCTTTATCCTTCAAATTCACACTTACTCTCACCTTGGCGGTGTCGCCCCAGGTGTCCCTTTCTTCTGTGTTTACCTGATTTGACCTGAAAAATGAAAAGCTGCAAAGACTGCTCAGCTTTTGCTTTTTCCTAGCTGGATGAAAGATGCTTCCAGTCTCCCTTTCCAGAAAATCTAATTTGAAATAGAAAAGGCTGAAGCAACGGCAGAAGCAACTCAAGTCTGTTGCTATGCAAAACTTCCGTGGAAAGCTGCTGCATGTGCTGTATCTGCAACGCCGTTGTTGTTCAGCTGCAGGCTGGTATTATCTGTGCCAGCCACATGTCTGCAGAAACGACTCCAGGCACTGTAACAACTTCTGCCAAAGTCACTGGGCTTGACAGGGATTCTCACTTGTATCGTCCTGTCCGTTCCCCGTGCTTGCCACTGAAAGGATATCTTCAGAGCACCAATTTAAGTGTGTTCTTGGAAAAAGTGGCTCAGCAAGACTTAAGGCAGAGAAGGCACTTCCATTTCACCCAAGGGGCATTTGGGACCAAGCCCAGCAAGTAGACACTTAGCAGAGATGAAGTGCTTTGTCATTACATCTTTGTTACCCTTCAGCTCCCACTGGTGAGACCTAAGGGCAGGGCAGAAGGAAAGAACATCTTCAGCCTCATAAAATCGATTCTTAGGGTGGCAAACGGGCCACAGAGATGTTCTCGTGGTTCCAAGTGTTCCTAGTAGTCTGTCAGAGCATCCCTGTGGGGGCTGTCCCTTTGCACTTCCCCTTCTCACCACGTCCTTGGAAACAAAGGCTGGAGGTTTAGCTAACAGGCAGCTGAACCTCTCACTCATGCACAGTCAAAAGGAAGAGTCAAAGCAAGTGAAAACAGGGCCCTGAACTGCAGCATTTGGTGAGGGGAGATATTCAGGATGCCCCACTGTCCACACCAACTGTCAGTCACACCAAAAAGCAAACTACTTAAAAAATACAGGGGGGGGGGAAAAAAAAAAAAAAAAGCCTTGAGAATATTCAACATTTATTAAAAGTGCAATAAAAATAAACAGTTCTCCTGTCCCTGTGACAAGTGACCAGAAAGACCAGGCGGGAAACACAGCCAAGGTTTGTCATTGTGCTTTTGTTCAAGCCCTTCTGCTCAACGCTTGGGCACTAAGAGCCCAACCATGCCGGCAGCCCATCCCGTCCCAGAGACCCGGGAGGATTCCCAGCACCAGCCCCACGCGTGCTCTGGGGGTTCAGGCACGGGCCCTCAGACCCAAGGCTCCCCCTAGAGCATATCTCAGACCCCCACGAATCCACAGGAGGGGTTTCTCTGGCAGGACTATTTGCAGGCTGGAACAGCAGGAAGCGCTGGCAGTCACAGGATTTATCAACTGGGAGCTTATCAACTAGAGCTGGGATACCCCACGCAGTGACACACTCATCTTCACGGCACTGCTCAAGTCACAAACACTCCTACAACACCCCTACTCAGCAGACACAACACTTGCCTCGTCATATAGTCGCAAGGGGATAAAAGGGGAAAAAAAAAAAAAAAAAAAAAAAAAAAAAGTCACGCAGCAAGGTAATGGCAGAGCTGCATCAAGCTTGGAAGGACCCAGCTCCAAAAGTTCAGCTCAGATTAGTATCCCAGGCTGTTACTCGCTAGGGGTGGCTAACAGCACAGCGCACAAAGCTGCTTTCCTACTCTTGGGCACCCATCAGCTCGGTGGGATCTCGCTTAGCTCAAGGCTCAGGCCCACACGGCTGAAGAAGGAGAGGCTCCCCTCTCGGTCCTGCTGCGACCCCTCGACGCAGAGCGGCTCTAGCAGGAGCTCGGGCACACACACACGCACGGATCTGCTGCACCACAGCAGCAGGGATCGCTCGGGGTGCTCTGGCAGGGCTGCATAGAAATCTAGAGCTGGTACAGCCAAAAAAAGTGTGAGAAGAAGAGTCAACAGAGGGGCAAATACCTGGGTCCAGGCAGCGCTCTCTATTTCTCACCCTCACAGGCAGCAAAATTACTCCAGGATTTAGTCTAAAAACACTTCTAGCTTAGAAATGATTGACCTAATGAAAACATTAAACCGGACTAACAGTTTACTAACACCCTAAGTGGGCAACCCTGGGAAGCTCCTAAGCAAATAGTCATTTTCCATTCCTTTTAACAACTTATGTGTAAAAAATAAGAATCTTAAATTAAAAAAAAAAAAATTAAAACTGAGCCTTGATGTCCTAATGAATGTCCAGAGGCACTTCCACATAAATATCATCCTACTGATACAGGGGAGAACGGGAGAAGATCCTTCTCATGAATAAGTTAGGCCAAGGCATGTTCTTAGGCGCAGACTTTGTTTCTTAAAGTCAGCTTCTTCCTGGCTGAATCCAAGGTGCTTGGGGCAGGCAAGACGGGCAAAAAAAATTGTCCGCAGTCGCAGAACTTGGAAAGGGTGGACGTAAACACTGTAAATCCTGCAGTCCAAAACAAGAAGGAAGAAGGGTGGCGGGGTTTAGAGCTGGGAGAAAAGCGCATTGATGAGGTTACAAGAGCAGAGAACACTCCCAGCGTGTTAAGTCTCTCCTACTTGTACACACGCGCAGCGCAGGCTTGTTCTCTGCGTCGGACCAGCTTCCATAACAGCCCAGAGAGCAGATCTCCCCCCTCACGGGTAGCACCATAATGTGTTGCCCCGCTGAGATCCTATTGCCCCATTTCCCCCTTTCTCCCACCAGCAGCTGGCCACAGGCACATCTTCGGGCTCCATCCCATTTCACCAAAGCACAGCTGCCTTCCCTGATGCTGGCACAGAGATCCGAATAAGCTGAGCTGAAGAGGAGCTGGGTCAAACGCAATGTAAACAGCCTGTGGTGACTCTCAGTTAACCGAGGGAAGCATTCCTACCTGTACAGCCTCCACACAGCTCACCTCCGGCTCCTTTATCGCCCTGTATTACTCATCCCTGAAACCTTTGGGCTTTTGATGTTAAGGTTCTCGTAGACGGAAGCCGACTCATCATCAGCCCTGTCAAGAAACAAAACCTTGTCATTAACAGCCTCACTGCTCTGGATCGTCTCCCAGAGGCAGGTGGCCAGTGGGAAGTGGCTAATGGCCCAGCCAGGCTTCCTTTTTCCCTCCCCAGCCCTGGAGATAGGATGACAGTGGGTTACCTGCTGTTCTCAATCCCTCTTTTCTCTCCTTCTGCTTGGGCCATCCCTTCCAGGCTCAAATATTACTTGGGGATGGAGCTCTGAACCTTCCTCCACAGATTTTTCCGCCCAGTTTCTGTGGGACCAGCAGATACAGCTCCTACTATTTCCCAATCTTGCTTCCCTTACATACCCAATTTCTCCGGATTTTCCAAAATCTAATGGAAGGAGAGGGCTGCTCCAAAGGCCAGATAGATCCAAGTACCACTAAAGCAGGTTTAACACCCAAAGCTGAACTCGCGGGAGCTCTCTGGAGCCAACAGCACCGCAGAGCTCAGCTCGCTCGGCTCAGTCCCACACAGCCCTCCCTACCTCATTCATTCAAAGCTGCAGTTTCAAAGTTGGGCATTTTAAACAGGACACAAATGTTTCCAGAGTCCAGCGGGGAAGATCCCAACTGGCCAGATCCAGCAGGAATTGGAAGGTTCATAACGCCAGCGAAGGATCCAGATTTCCCTTCAGCGCTGCATGAAAGCGAGGTCTTGGCGGCTTTAATGTGCCGCAGGACCGGAGCGGCTCTGCCTGCACCTGGTTTTGGGGTGCTGCGGGAGCCAAGCAGGGCCCTTCCCTGCCTCCTCCTGCCCTCTCCTGGCTCCCAAGGCAGCAGCTGCCTGAGCCCCAGCCTGGAGCATCCCAGCTGCCGGGCCCAGCTCTGGCTCTGCCGGCAGAGGCAGCTCTGGGCACGGCGTGCTGCCAGGCACAGCAGGTCAGAGCCACCAGCACTCCAGCGGCGGCCAAACGCCCAGACAATAATATGTGACATCTCTTTTTACCCTCTTCAGGTGGATTTTTCATTCTGCATGAGCCTGGCAACAGCATTTCTGCTTCCACTTTAACACCCACTCCTCTGCTCCTGCCTAGCCATCCTTCCAAAATCGATCCTGCAGTTGAGGCTGCCCAAAAGCTCTGATATTCTATAACCGACATACATCCCTACCCACTCACCTTCAACTTAGAACGCCCTCTTCATCACTCTTGCTATCCCATTAATTGGGGCAAGAACGAAAAACTTAATTTGGGGTATTTTATCTCTGCTTATGTAAGGAACTCATGCTGCTTGGCACATGCTGCCTCTCCACATGGGTGCGAATCCACCTCCCTCCGCTCTCTTCTCGTCTTCCTGCAGATTTCGCTGTAGAACTCAGTGGCAGCAGCACAGTTTCCCTCTCTAGCCCATTCTCCAGAGTCAAGGATGTGGGGCACTACTTGCTAAAGGCAGGGACCTATTTCCCCCTCTCCTTTCCAAAAGCACAGCACACAAGCAAGGTGAGCTGCTGCCACCATGCTGGGATCACCTGTTTATTTTTAGCCCTTCCCCTAGGATGGGCAGCAAGGTTGCAGGTGTGGGAGATGCAGGCTGGCAAGAGGATAAACACTGGGGCCTCTGCTCCAGCTGCTCTCTCTACAGCTGCAGAAGTTCTTCGCCCTGACAGACAGACATTCTGCTTACACAGACTGGGTCCGTGGTGACGGGGGCTGCCCTTTGGCTCTGCCTTTTTCCATAGGAGAGTAGCCAATATTCAAGTAGTCTCGCTCTTTCCTTTTATTCCTCTGAAAGAGAAAGCAAAGGCAATAAATTCCCACTCAAAGCAGATACAGAAGAAAGCCTCACAAGGTCCAGTATGCCAGCAGGGGAGCGGTGGGGGTGGGTTTATTTCTGTGCGTTCGGGGCAGTATTTGAGTGCCAGGGAGAAGGTGGAAGTGGTGTTTGGTGCAGGCTAAGCTCTGCCTTTGTTCTTCCAGCCAAGCTGAATGGAACTCACCTGTTCTTCTTCCAACCTCTTCTGCTCAGCCTCAATGTACTGCTGAACAGCCATGTAAACAAACTTGTACTGTGCCTCTGTCTGCACCATGCCCGAGCGCTGCCTGCGGACCATCTGGATAGTTTTGGGGATGTCGATATCGCAGTCCAAACCTGCTCAACAGGGAGAAAATTAGGTTGAAGGAGTGGGAATTAAGTTGAAAAATTATGTTCTTAAGACAGCTTTGAAAGCTTTCAGTATCTCGCTGTGCAGGGTCAGCAAAACCCCAGAATATTGTGAAATTTGGTGCATCTCTGTGTCTAGAAGATTAATTTATTTTTTTTTTATCCCTGCCAGAACACCTTGGATTGAGAATGCCTGAGGCAGGGATGACTTGCTTGGAGCAAGGAGAGAGAAGGGGAATTAGGTTTGCTCTGTGGAAACTTCCTACAGATCCAGGCTTACCATCCTTGCAGGGTTTATGAAATACATACAGCATTGCTGAAGAGGGTCTGCCTGCCCCAAGGCTCCCGGATCAGACCCAGAGGTACCACAGGGAGTTCTAAACAGCTCTAGAATGTCAGGTAAGGGTGACAGCCCTTCTACACAGAAGGGTTTGGGGGGCTTATTTCTAAAAGGGCTGCTGGAGTTACACCTTTACTGAAGCTGTTTCCTCCCCATCCTGCCTTCAGTAAAAGAGAGTTGTCCAGGAGACCTTGAAATCGTGACCCCATCAATGCCAACGAGAAGACTCGCTTGTACAAGAGCAGGGTTATCCATAACTGGTCAGAGCAAGGCAAATGGTGAAAGCCGTGAGATAGTCAGGGAGACACACCTTGCCTGTGAATAATATCCACCAGAATATCTATCACTATGATGGTGCCTGTGCGTCCTATTCCAGCACTGGAAAGAGAAAAGAAAAAAAAAAAATCATTGCAGGAAGAACCATTGCCCAGGGTTAGTCAGCTCAGCTCCCACACTCATCTGCATGCCTGGTCCAGCCTGGGCAGATGCTCCAAGGTAATCCCAGCCAAATGCTGACCCTTGGCAGATCAGAATCTATCAAGCTGCATCTAAACTGTTAAACTGCAACAGGGGAGGGTGAGACTGGACATTAGAAAAAAAAATTTTTCCCAGCGAGAGTGGTCAGAGAGTGGAACAGGCTGCCCAGGGAGGGGGGAGTCCCCATCCCTGGGGGTGTTTAAGGGCCGTTTGGATGAGCTGTGGGGGGATGTGGGGTAGGGGAGAGCTCGTAGAGTCGGGCTGAGGGTTGGACTCGATGATCCCGAGGGGCTTTTCCAACCGGAATGATTCTGTGATCTACCAACTCCAGATCAGGCCTGCTCTTCCCTGTGCTATCACCAGTGCGGCTCATTTCCCATGTGTGTACTTATATCCCAGCCACCCGCCATCAGCTCACGTGATGCCCCAGCTGCAGGTGTAACAAAAAAGAGGAGACACGTTTTTATTACCCACCCCCACCGCAGTGCCCCGCTGATGGCCCACTGGCTCCTACCTGCAGTGCACTATGATCGGCCCCGTGTCTGGAATGCTTCGCTGTGCCCGATTCACTTGGTCCAGAAAGCTCAGAACCCCTCCTGGCTCATTGGGCACCCCGTGGTCTGGCCAGCTAAAATACTGATAGTGCTTCACCAGTCTCGGGCGCTCATCCTGCGGGGAGCAGAGACCCACCACCCAGTCAGAAAACCCCTCCTAGCAGGAGGATTCTCTTCTTTGGCAGTCAGAGAGGGACCTGGGGGCAGGGATTGACAGGCGGCTGAACAAGAGCCAGCAGTGTGCCCCGGTAGCCGAGGAGGCCAATGGTATCTTGGCTCTATCAGCCCTGGCGTGGCCAGCAGGGACAGGGAAGGGATCTGAGCCCTGGGCTCGGCACTGGGGAGGCCGCCCCTCGATGAGTGGGTTCAGTTCTGGGCCCCTCACCCCAAAAAGGCCATTGAATGACTCGAGCGGGGCCAGAGAAGGGCAACGGAGCTGGGGCAGGGTCTGGAGCACAGGTCTGCTGGGGAGCGGCTGGGGGAACTGGGGGGGTTCAGTCTGGAGAAGAGGAGGCTGAGGGGAGACCTCCTGGCCCTCGGCAACTCCCTGCCAGGAGGGGGCAGAGAGGGGGGATGAGTCTCTGGAGCCAAGGCCCCAGCGCCAGGCCCCGAGGGAATGGCCTCAAGCTGCCCAGGGCAGGGTCAGGCTGGCTCTGAGGAAGGATTTCTGTGCAGAAGGGGCTGTTGGGCGTTGGAATGGGCTGCCCAGGGCAGGGGGGAGTCCCCCGGATCCCTGGGGGGGTTGAAGAGTCGGGTCGATTTAGAGCTTAAGGACATGGTGTAGTTGGGAACTGTCGGTGCTGGCTGAATGGTTGGACTGGATGATCTCCAAGGTCCCTTCCAAACTAGATGATTCTGTGATTCTTTTTTTTCTTTTTTTTCATAGCTGAACCAAAGTGGTCCAGAACTTAAGCAGTAGGACCATTAAAAGAAACCAAAAACAACCATCAGAAAAGCTACAGCTCCCTCCTCCTCAGTTCCAGCACCAGCCTGCTCCCAGCACAGCGGGCAGAGAGCAGCAGAGGACTCACCCTGTCAGTCCGCAGGATCTCCAGCTCCCGGAGGTAGTAGCCCTGGGCCTCGCGCTCGCTCACGTTCCGCACGCAGATGCACCCGTATTCCTTGGTGCAGCTCTTGTCTGGCCAGTAACGGAAACATTTGTTCTGTGGCAACATCAGATAACTGCTCGTTAGGGGAGACCGGGGAGGATGGACCCCTCAACACCTTGCTTGGGGGTGCTGCTGCATTCAGCGAGTGTGTGGCCCCGGTGCAGAGGTTTAAAGGAGATTCATACCCACAGAGCATTTCCTTTGGGCTGGGGATGTCCCGGAAAGGGCCATTCCTAAAGGAAAGATGTGATCCCGAGGGGAACCTCCCTCCTCAGCCAGCCCCAGCCTCAGGGACGCATTGCTTTGCCAAAGGCACAGTCTTAACAACACACCACCTGAGCTGTTGGTCTGGTCGTTGCCTAACTCCTGAGCCAAGCTCCATCCCAAGGGGCTACACAGTCTGCCAGCACCCCTCCTGTCCTCCAGCCCACCTCCTCCTTGCTACAGTGACTTTGCCAATACAAAAGAAGGCTTGTGAGTAGAGCTACCTTAACCCCATCTCTGCACTCAGCTGCTGCAAGCACAGCCTTGCCCTCGTTCCTAAGCAAAACTGCCAGTGCCAGTCATCATCAGCTCCTCTCTTTATTAGGGAAGGCTCTTCTGGTAAATGGCTCTGCAAGGCATTTCACCGGACTCCCTGGCCCCTACCAACCTGCCCTTAGTGATACCCATGCAGGTGGTATGCAGATAGGCTGGGCAATTATTTTTGTCCCTCACACAGCTTGCGATTTGCAACATCCCCCATCCCGCCAGCCGCTTTCCAGCTTGCTGTGACAAGCACCATGGTCTTCTCTCCCTCTGCCACCTGCAATTCCCCAGATCCTGCAAGCAAGTCCCATGGGGGACACCCCATTAATATTTATGGGGCTGGGGAGATGGGCTGCGCAGAGCAAAGTGGTGCGTTTCTTTCATGAAGAAGAGCTAAAACAACATTACAAGACAGAGGAGAAATTAAATGAAAGCTAGCCAGAGACAACTTAACACTTTTAGTACTAGCAACAGGTAACTTTCAGGCTTGGGGAAAGCACCCTACAAGTGCTCACCCTGCCCCGCTCCACCTCCTTGGTTGTCATGACAATAACGTGACTGTTCTCTTGATACACCATGGCCCAGAAGTCATTCACTGTTGTCTGCAGGCAGCCCTGGGTGGCTATATAGATCTTGCAGTGCTCTGAGTTCCTTCCATCTTCAGGGATGCTCTGAGGAGCAAAGGAGAGAGGAAAAACACACCAGTGACGCTGGAGTGGGGACCTGAGAATTGGCTTAGTGCACCTTTAGCAGCAAAGTCAGCAGACTTTTCATGCATGCAGGATTCCTGAGCTAGCTGATTCTCCTCTATTCGTCAGACCTGTGGACGCGAACTGCTCTCATCACCAGCTTCAACAGTTGCCACCAGGATGGTCTGTCTGCCTCCAGGGACCACTGTAACGCACGTTACCGCACAACAGGCTCTTGCCAGCAGGCAGCTGCAGAAGTTGCAGGTGGACATGGCTGGAATGAAGCCACCCTGAAGGTTTCCCAAAGGCTGGTGCTTAAGTGCCAGAGCAGCATTGCTGGAAATACAGCTTCAAGCAGCTCTGAGCTTACAGGTGACAATTATAATTTGACCTCAGAGATTATTATGTTCAATGACAGAGAGTCTGGGTCAGTCCCCTAGGACGTCCTGACCAGGTAAGGAAAGGAGGGGATTGAGATAAACTCTCAGCTAGGGGCAAATAGGACATGGTAGAATGAGGAGACCCCTTGGGATACAGGAGAAAACCAGTGTTTAGCCTGGACCCAGTGAAAGATACTGGTCTTGACAAGCCATTTCCTCAAGACTTAGATCATTCCTGTACTTACCCACCAGAAACATGGCACTGGGCTGAAAACAGCCCCCCACCGGTGCCTTTCCCTTCCCAAGTACCTTGATATAGTTGGCGTTGATGTAGTCTGACCCAGGCACGCTCTCATCTGCGTCTCGGAGTGCCACACGTGTGGTATCAACTGAAGGAGAAGAGAGTCCAGAATGAACCCGGGAGCGAGTCACACCCGCAGGAGCACGGGTGGGCTTTGCTGCAGGGCAGACACATCGGCTCCCAGCAAGGCTTTTACTATCAAGTCACAAAGGTAACTACTGCAAAACAGGGTGTAGAAAGCTCCCACAACACTTCGCAGTCCTCCACACTACCTGGCTCACAGCTACGCCGCCAATCTACGTTGGGTGGACATCAGGGATACTCAGTGTTGCAGACTAACCTGAGCTCAAGTTTTCCAGTATTTCCTTTGAAGCATATTTGGACTCACAGCACAGAGAGAGGAGAGCAATTTTATCAGTTTCCCATGCAAAAGGGAAGGACCAGGTTAGAAAGGGGATGGAGAACACCATGAACTAACTGGACCGTTCCACTAGACCAGTGTACACCTCTTCCCAACTCAGCTATGATCAGAAAAGTCTGCAGGGTTAGCTAGCCCCAGAAAAGGCTGCAGAAATGGTGCTGAAAAACCACCAAACCAGTATTCAGCATCTCCTTACAGGGAAGGATGTTCTTGTAGCGATTCTTAGCCTTGTTCTCGGGTCGCTGTCCCTCCTTCCTGGGGTAGAGGAGCTTGCACTCTTGCTGCTGCAGCATCTGTGGAGCAGACCACAAAAGAACAAACTGTTCTGGGCAGACAAAGGGAATAAGAGGCAAAGGAAGGGCTCTTTTGACTAGCTGCTCAGCTTCCTAATGCTGAGAAGAGCAGAGGGAGTGCTGGCAGGAAGGGAAAGGGAGCCAAGAAGCAGCTTAATGAGAGAGTTAATGGGGGAAGAAGGCACAAATCCCTGCAGGAAATAAAAGGCACGCAGTTCTAGGATGAGGAAGGAGAAACTGCTTCAGACACGAGAAAAAGCAATGAAATAAAAGGACCAGGAGGTAACTCGGCTGAATACAGAAAACAGGGAAAGGAGAAATAGTGTTGAGAAGAGGTCCGCAGTGCTGGAAAATCATGACACTGAAAATATGATATTCTTCACCCACAGGCACAGGAGGGACAGAGGCACGGGAGCATTCTGTACCTCAAACTCTTCCCAGAACCCTTGCTTGGCCTTCTCACTGTGATCTGCCATTTTGTTCAGCTCCTTCACTCTGTTTTCAATGTTAGCTGCATTGATGCGCGTGGCATTGAACGGCTGAAAGACAGATGAAGACAGAATAGAAATCACTTTTGGGAACAGAGAGACAGATAACTTTCCCCTTGAAAAAAACCAATTCCTGATTCCCTGTGGTTATTGGCAGGAGCTGGGTCCATTCCTGAGGCCTTGAGTGTGGGGACAGGGATGTCTCCGGCTAGTGTGAGCCTGGACAAGCAAGACAAGTAGCCAGCGGGATGTTCTGGGGGCAGGGAGCATCCAAAGAGCGGGTGCAGATCTGTGCACTCCCCCAGGAGTTTGGACAAGCCCAGAACCGACAAATATGTGCTAGAGCAGCTACTACCTGCTTCAGATGAACCACAGCTCCAGATTTCTCCACCATGGGGTTTTTCTTATAGTGCTCCACCAGGTCTGTGAGGGTGTCAAACCTCTCTCCTCCCCCCACGTCATACTTCCCGTCTGGCTGCAGGAGAGAGAGAGTGACAAAACCACGGTGAGACTCGAATGCTCCCAGCTGGGTCACCCACCCCGTGCCTATCGCAGGGTGAGAGGGGACCAGACATTTCCCACCTGGTAGTGGATCATCACGTGGGTCACGTGCGGTTTCCGGTCCCCAGTCTCCATCTTATCCTCATTTGTCAGCACCGACAGTACAAAATCTCCTGGTTTGCTCTGGCTCTCCCGCACCAGGAAGCTGCCTGGTTTCCCCTTCTCTGTCAAAAGCTTCTCTGCCTCCTTGCCCGTGAGGTGCCCATGGTACCACCTAGGAGCAGCGGTGGAGAGCAAGGTCAGCTCAGGAACGTACAGAGCACCGTCCTTAGCCACGAGCTGCCCTCACTGCTGGGGATGGTGTTGGCAGCAAACTCATTTCTAGGCTCCCAATCTGACTGCTCGACCCACTGGCATCACACCAACTTGAGTTAATTTAGAAACAGTTGCCAGTGACTTCCCTCCCAACACTTTGCAGGGTCAACCTTAGCCTGAGGCTGGAAGTGTCAGGACTTTGCTCAATCCTCCAGCCAAACGTGAAATGGCACCAGTATATTAACCTGCCACGTGATGTATGACAAGCGCTGTCATCTAGGGACAGGGTTCTGACGAAGCCGTAAGAACACGATTCCGGCAGTTCTCACTTGAAAGTGGTTACGTTTTTCTTTATTTTTTAACATGGAAGAAAAAGAACGTTTGGAGTCAGCAGGCTGTAGCCAGGATCAGACACGAGAGTGGACAGCACCAACCAGAAACAAGATGCTCTGACACAGTTCGGGAGGGATTTTCAGCAGGGTCCTCCTCGCTGTACTTACTGCTGCTCCCCTCCCCGGTCGCTGACCTCAGCTCAGGTCTGGCTGAGGAAGAGCAGAAGCGCCCTGCACGTTCACCCAAAGTGGCAAAAGCGGGTTCCCCACTGTGCCCAGGAGGCCTCTCCCCCTCCAACCCTGCCCACAGCCGCTCCTCCGGCCGGTTGTGATTTCAACGTGCAGAGGTTTGTGCCCAGCTCTTCCCAAGCCTCACTGTGTGGGCACGAGTCGCTCCACCTCCCCGTCTGCGTACATCTTGCGTGCACGTGCCCCTTTCTCCATCTAATCTCTCATAATCCTTTCTCTTGACATACTTACGCCGCAGTCCCAGGGAAGTGCAGGCTGTCTTTGAACCGACTCGGTCCGAAGCCCAGAGCAGCCCTGCCACGATGCCTTGGGCTTGAGCACACAAACCAGGCTCGCACGGCCTTTGCTGCACTCGCCAAGGCAGCACGTCTCACCCACCCGGGGCAGCCGTGCCTCATGGGCCAGCACGCAGCCTTCCGCAGATACAAATAACCGTTTGGAGCGAAGCAGAGTTTCTTTTTGCCTCGGAGCCTTCAATCCTCACACTCCGTCAACACTCAGCAGTGGCTCTGGGCAGATGCCACAGGTCCCACTTTGAAGATGCTGGCTCCTGGCCTGCCAGCCAAGCTGCCAGGAATTCAGAGACGCTCAAAATAACCTTCCAGGGGCGATGCAATGGCATCACGTCATGTCTCAGCAACTTTGTCCCAGAGGACGAAGTTTATAGAACAGCAGCCAGTGATGCTGGGCCTTTTGAATCCCGACTCAGCATGCTATAAAGGCAGCCGTTTCAAGCTGGACTGGGAAGACCTCTACAGAGGAAGACTCCTTCTTGCAGGCCTGAGAAGGCATTAGGATCACGGGGCTGCACGAGTCGTGCTGCTCCGCAGGGCAGAACGACCCACTCTGGTGGAAGTTTTCAGGCCCAGGTCTTAGAAACGCTGCTACCCCGACACATCCCGCTAGATCCTGACACCACCGTGTTTCATATGTTTAGAGGACTTGGACCCTTTTCCCTCCCTTCTCCCTGATGCCACCAGATGTGTGGTCTGGAGTAGAAATCTTTACGGAGCTTCCTTGCCAAGCCAGATTTTCCTTGGCGGGAGAAAAGGGGGAAACCCAGCTGAAAGGGGGTTTCCACTTTTCCAGAGCTTCTGCTAAACACGAGCGGCCACCCGGCTGCTTCTCACACCACGATCTGGAAGGAGCAAAGAAACCTCCCTGGCAACAAGGGAGCACATGAGCTGGAGGGACTTCCCAGCGCCTCGGCCCAGCCGGCTCACATGACGGCGTGGAAAGGAGCGTCTCTGCTCCATTTCAGGAACTGAGACTAGTCCCAGCTTCGCCTTACCCCGGCTGCTAAAGTTAGAGTTAGTAGGGGCTGCTTTGGCATAGCCAGCCGCCTGAGCAGGCATTCCCCTTTCCAACCCACCGTGTCAACCGCTGCCTGTGACACTGGGGAAACTGAGGGGGAGGAAAAGGAAAAAAAGGGGTCACTGGAGCGTCATAGATGAAGGGGAGGGAAGAAGGTCACTAATCGGCCGGTGGAAACATCCTGAAGTAGCCCAAGGCAAGTCGCTTCTTGAAGCAAATCAGCCATCCCCATCCCCGCCAGTGTGCTGCTGCCGGGATGAGCAGAGGTGGAAGACTGAGATGGAATGGGGGAAGACTTTTTACAGGGCATTTTCACCAGCGTTCTGCAGGCAGAAACGTCACTTGCAGGCGTTTTGCTTCTTTTAAAACCAAAGCTGCCTCCTAGGATACACCTGCAGGACCCTTTGCAGATGGACTCACACTGCTCGTGTTGGATGGGGCTCTGAGCACCCCGATTTAGTTGAAGATGTCCCTGCTCACTGTGTGGGGGGGGTTGGACTAGATGACCTTTAAAGGTCTTTTGCAGCTCAGACTATTCTATGATTCTACAATTCTATGTTCCCTGTTGCCTAAAAGCTACAGAATATCAGCCAATACCAGCTTCTGTGCCTTGCTAGTGTTCCCCGGCCAGCCTCTGGTCACACCTGCAGGCAGAGCAGCTCGGGAACCATATCCCAGAGGTGTGCAGCTTTTGGGTCACAAAAGCAAAATCACACCCAGACACACTCTGTTTCAGGCTCCTTTCCAAACCCAGGCCTGCCGGTGGTCTGAGCCATCTGGGAAGGCAACATCATCACCACTGGGAGAGGCTGCTGGAGAGCGTGGCTCACCTCTCCGAGGTGGGGTCCTGGCAGTTGAGGGGGTACTTCAGCTCGATGACATTGCTGTTCTTCTCCCGCAGCAGCCCCTGCTGCTCCGTGTAGTACTGCACCAGCTCTGCAAGGGTGGCAAACTTCTCCCCTCCGTAGAGGTCATAGTAATCCCCCGTGTTCTGGATCTTAATGTGTGTCACCTCGTCGTTCCTTCTGAGGAAGGAAGGCAAACAGGATTGCAGGTGTGAGAGAATGGAAACCCACCAGTGGCCTTCAGAGCCCAGATGCCTCCCGGACACCACCCGCCTCTCTAAGCTGCACCACGTGCTCTCCGTTCACTCGGCTGCTGCTCACGCTGGCCATGCTTCTCCAGCAGGGGATGGATGGATGGATGCTCCTTGGCCAAGGTCACTCAGCCAAGAAGTGACTGCACCTCGCAAGCTCCCAGCCCGCTCTGCTTCCCAGACCAACCTCACACACACAGGAGGTGAGGAATTCCTCCTCTGCCATCCCTTCCACTTCCTACACTACTTACCCTCTCGGCTGGATGAGGCTCCAACCTCGCTCCGGTTTACAGTGAACAGTTTTCTATGTTAGCATCTAATTAGTTTTAAAAAAACCCAAACAAACAGGAAAAAAGCCACTCAAACCAACACATTTCCTGATATTTGCAAACCCTATAAACTGTACCAAAAGGGTTAATGTTTTTCCCCCTGCAGTGCTGCCCTCCAGACTCAAGGGGCTGGGTGCCTTTATCAGCCCGTTCCAAGAGACCCTCAGCCCAGCAGAGCCCAGCTGCCTTCCTCAGAAGGCCACATTAACCTCTGAGAGGCAGGTTAATTGTATTTTAACACACTCAGCAGCAGCCCCCCGAGCTGGGGAGACATGGCTGGAAGCCCGTTGCTTGATGGACGAGCTGGGTCAGAGAGAGACTCATAAATCTGGGCAAACTTCTCCTTCTTTACGGTGGGGAGCTGCTCCCCAGCTCTCTCCATTTGTTGCCAAAGCAACCGTGACAGTGAGATGCAGGAGACTCAAGGTGGGATAAGCAGCGTACCAGGTCGGACAGAAAAACCATTTCACAGAGTGAAGATTTAGAAAAGAGACAGCGGCCTGTGCACGAGGTGAAATGGAAGGAAGAGCTGGACCATGGCAGGGGATCTGGGGGGACTGCCCCCATTTCTGCTCTTCCTGCAGCAGGGTACAGCCCCCGTGGCAATGCAGTGAAAGACCAGATATCCGGATGCTATCGGGTGTCCAACCCCAGCTCCCAAAGTCATCTCCTGTTTAGTTTTCCTGGGCTGTAGGTACCTCCTACCTCAGCGTCTGGACCCTAGCGCTCGATTTCAGATGTTAAGATCTGGCCCTCAAATGCAAGCGGTGGCAAAAGGCTCTGCCTGCCTCAGGGGAGCTGCGGGAAGACAGCCCGGCGGTGTCAGCGGGATGTCCCGTGGTGCTTCTCACTCGCTAAGGTTCCCGGTATCACGCTGTGTCTGCCCGGGGTTTCCAGTGGTGTCATTTTATTTAAAGACCTTTATGCAAATTCCTCTAGTCTAGACAAGCGCTTGGAGCAGCACCAAGGAGTTCTCCTCTGGCAGAAAGGAGCCGGCTGCTTTTCCATCCTGCCTCGCACGTGCAAGACGGACACCTGGCTCCTCAGGTGAGGTGAGGAGCGACCTCCTCCTCCTCCCCGGTGCCTCCTCCTGGATACCACCTTGACCCACGCGCTGCAATGGTCTAGTGGAAATCCACCTGGGAGGACTCTGCTGACTTTGCCATAACTGACTCCCCCGAAAGCAGAGGCCATCCAATTCCGTGAGCTCGGGGCCGTGTACCTGCAGGACTGTGGGATGAGGGGTGCAGGGCACCCCTGGGATGCACTCACGTTGCCCATGGTGTGGCTGCCTTTATGTAACTACTGCCGCGGGTTTTGCACTATCTTGGGGATTTTAACAGCCACTTTTGGCATGCGAGGGGCTTGTCATGTGCACGAGCAGATTAAATGCTGACTGTCCAACCGGCTCTGCTGGAGTACGCAGCAGCAGCTCCTCGGCAACCGGACGAGGCCAAGCTGGAACTCGGCAATGAGATCTCTGTGTGCTAATCCTTGAAGAGCTCACAGAAACATTAATAGCAGTGTGCTAGCAGAGCCACTGCGTGCCCCTCCTCCAGACCTGCCTTCATTAGAAGCATGACTTATGATTAGACAGCAACACTCTTGGCCACATTCAGGCCACGGTCACCGCATGTCGTGCAGTTCTCCCTAAAACACTACCCTGACAGATGGCCCTATTCCCACTTACTCCATCCCAGTTGCTCAAGAAGACTTTGTCAATGTAGAATCAGCAATTCCACTTTGTGCTCACACAGCCCTTCCTGGATGCTTTGTCTGGCACTGGGGTGATTTCTGCGTCGTGCCAATTCAGAGGCAACAACCAACTGTGAACAGGGACAGCATCCACAGTATTACCATCACCCCACGTTAACAGCAGAACAAAACCAGCAAAAGACCAGCCAAACAGGCCTGAGGTGTGACAATCTGCATCTGGGTCCTGAACAGTCACACTACACCTTGACAACAAGGTCTTGGAGACAGAACCCATCCGTCTGCAAGACAGAAAGCTGACGAGTGGCACTCCTGGGTATTCACAAAGACACAGTTAACTCTTCCTGGTACAGCTGGTAACTATAGTTCTGACCTGGCCTGCCACACCAACTCCAGCTGTCCTACGGGCAGAGACATCAAAGCTTGGCAATATTTGCATCTAGGGTATGAGCAGAACTGACTAGATGGAAATGAAAACTGGCTGTGAAACCCAGACCCCAGCCAGGGCTCCGATAACAATGCCTCTCCTCCGAGAGGAGCTGGCACACGAACCCCTTCTGCCAGTCACACCAGCAGCTGGACGGGAAGAGCCTTTGTGCAGCACAGAAGGCAGCAGATGAAACTGCGTTTTTGCCACTTGGCCTGAGGCTCAAAAGCTCCCTTTTTTCCACAGCTCCATCTCCACATCCCAACCCGGTTACAGACCTACAAAGGCTCAGTTCACAGAGCCACCCCCCCACCCCCAAAGGCCTCTGAGCACTTCAGGGATGAAAAGCAGAGAGATAATCAGGGTCATTTATCCCATGAGCCCTCAAGGTCATGCTAAACAGAGAGCGCATTGATCGATCCCCATTTACTTCCCATTTTCTTCTCTTAAAGCTTGCGTCACCTCTGCAGCTCCAAACTGGAGAACTGGACTGCACAGTAGCAGCATCCATTAAACTGTGCCCTCGACACGCTGACTGGTGTAATAAAGCACAAAGGAGATGCCCAAAGTACTCAGCTGCCCTGTGCTGGAGGGCACAGCTACTTCTGACTAACAGACACGCAGCTCAGACACACAGGTTTGCTGCACTGTTTAACAGCAGTTACCAGCCTGTCTGGCAGCTTCGGAGCCGGCAGCCAAGCGAGAGTCGCCTCCGTTCCAAGCCAAGCTTCTTTACACTATCAGCACAACTCCTTAGCTAGATAGCCAGGAGGGTTTCTTGATCTAAAATACTCCAACTTGTGAGCCTGTGTCCATACTGCATCAGTGTGGATGGAGTCTGCTCTTCTTCGCAATCCAGCACAGTCAGTAAGAAGAGGACTCACAAAAAACCCAAACTGACCCTTTTTTTTTTTTTTTTTTTGTCACTGATGGCAAAAGAACCGCTGTAATTGTCAGAAAGACCTTCACCTGTTGCATCGCCCAAGTGTCTTTTTTGGTCACGTGCTTTTCCTGCCTGTGTCAGACAGAGAAAGCCTATAACTTCACGTGATGCATATATGACTCCTCTGACAAGCTGCAAAAAGCAACCCCAGAACCCCCCAAACACTCTCTATGGAAAAACCAAGACGATTCTCTCATGGGGTTTAGAAACTTTGCTGAAAGTTTGCTTTCAACTAAGAGCTTAGGCTCTCAGAGAAAACTCACTATCCACCAACACAACACGACAGAACCAACTGCAACTTGCATGGGGTTTCAGAGACACAGCCAAGGGAATCCTAGAGGTTAGGATGGGCTTTGAATTCTTCGTACCCCATTCCGAGGGAAACAATTCCGCTGCCTGCCTCAGCCCTACTGCTCACTTAAGGTGTTAGGAGCTCCCGAAGGTGCACAGGGACAAAGGGCATCCAACAACTCGGTGAACTCACACACTGGCACCATTTCCCTATAGGGGCATTTATACTTTTTGCAATCCTGAAGGCGCTTCCTGCCCCAGGGAGACCCAGCCTTTTGCCCTGGGAAGGGGTGTGAAGCACAGACCATTTGCCATTGAAAGGAGGCTTTCGCCACCCTCCTCTGTCTTGCCAAACTTGTAAATAGCAGCAAATACGAGCACAAGTAAGCCAAAGGTATCCATCCACTAGTGTTGTGTCTCTAACAGAATGATCTGCTTCCAAATAAATTTAAGCCACTCCAGGACAAAACAAAGACATTGCTGCCAGAGGAGAACATGCTTTCATAAGGGAAGAAGAGTCTTGTGATAAGAGCACTTGGCCAAGATTCGATGATCTGATCTTCAGCACCTTCTTGAGGCTCTCAAGGTGACTCTGGGCCCATCATCTGTCTCCTAGCTGTAACACAAAGACAGTGCTTCCCTTACAGAATCACAGACAGGACCTTGGAGATCATCCAGTCCAACCGTTCAGCCAGCACCGACAGTTCCCAACTACACCATGTCCTTCAGCGCTAAGTCAACCCGACTCTTCAACCCCTCCAGGGATCCCGGGGACTCCCCCCCTGCCCTGGGCAGCCCATTCCAACGCCCAACAGCCCCTTCTGCACAGAAATCCTTCCTGACATCTAGTATAACCTTGTCCCTGGCACAACTCGAGGCCATTCCCTCTTGTCCTTAGTTGGCTGGCCTACCTTAGCAGGAGCAGAATCAAGCCTACCTCTCACTACAGAGCCTTAATAAAGCCGGTAGGTGCTATTATGATGAGACACAAGGGCAACTGTTTTAGAAAAGAGCCTCTTTCAAGCCTCCTTCCATTCTTCTCCAGATCCAACTTCCTTCCTGTGCTGCAACTGCATTGTCTGCAGCAACTCAACCAATGTAACACGCCTGCAGTATTGATTTACTCCTTTTTGCAGAGTCTGTATTCTGTAGGACATCAAATCCTCGTTGATGCATGTCCCAACCCGTATCCAGAGTGTAATTGTACATGCCTTTTCGGGGGGGAA